GTTTTACCCGGGACAGACGTTGCCAGGTGCAAACATACTTGAACTGAAAACGTGTAATCATCCTAGATTTCGAGATTCCGCGGAGTATACGTTGAGAAAAACGACCCCAGAACAGACGGTATTTGTTCATCGTGAATAGACGCCTGATATTATCAAAAGAAGCGCGATGTGTATCATTTATCAGGAAGATATCATTGGTCGTGTTGGGAATAACTCGAGAGACACAATGAACATCACATCCCATTTTCTTACCCTGGCGGGGAGGGTGCAAGATATTGTAGGAATGAGAGTAACGGGTATCGGTTATCATGTAAGCAACTTTTGGCACAATTGGCAACGGGTGGAGACAGTTGTAGAAATGGTTGCTCCGGTTGGAGTAAGCAAGAGGAGGAGGACGGACGACCGATGGTTGTTCGTCTAACAGTCAGGAGTTAGGCACATTGTTTTACCAAATAGTAATGAAACGTACATTGAACAGTAACACCAGTTGTCTGAAGGGCCATGCAAATCCATGAGACCAGTAACAGTGCCAGCATTGACATGGTTCGAGGAGACATGAGGGCGGAGAGTTGAATTCGTTGTTGAACGTTATTGACATGATCGATAAAATTTCGACCACAAATAACCCAAAATAACTCTTTCTTGCAAATTTCATAGCCAGTTTACCACCCCAGTTTGAGACATGTTGGCCATTATCAAGGTGAGAATCTTGAAACGATAGGCGGTTGATTTGTTTGATTTCATTTGACATGATAAGCGTCACGTGAATCAAGATGGCATATTGGACAAACTGGCCGAAGAAACGATCGAGGAGATTATAGAATGCATGGACTTTTTGACCATGAGAAGTCTGTCGCAAACCTGTCGATTGCTTCGAAAGATGATGGCGAGGCATCATTTATACCTCGTTAACAAATTGTTACGACGTTTTCACCTGAAGCCCGACAAAATCATGTCCATATTGCAGATGACGGGTGGCGTAATATCGGGATCATCGGCACTGTTCGTTATGAAAATTGGCACTTTCATACCAGATGACATCGATTTTTTCGTCAACAAGTTCAACGAAAGAAAGTTTTTGCGATGGATTCAAGCATGGAGCGACTACCGTCTTGAGGAGCCAGTGTTTCGATTGGACGAGATCTACCCCACGCGCATGTTTATGACGGTACATCGCCTTACGATTGAAGGAAAGGCAGGCAGCATGAACGTTGTTGTCTCTAACACAAGCAGCGCCATTCAAACCATTTTCGACTTTCACTCCACCGTTGTGATGAATTTCATTAGCCCATATGGAATCGCTTGTGCATATCCTCGACTCACTTTCAGCAATCGAGGTCTCAAGAACCCAGGAATCCAATCGCTGCCTAATTTGAAGAAGTGTTATAAAAAATACCAAGACAGAGGGTTCACCATTGTCTCGTCTCTCCAAAGACTGAGAGGCTTTAACGAACACGATTGTGGTGTTGATCCATCCTGCGGTCAGACAAGCCGTTCAATTAGAGACGGACATGTTCTCTTTGTCGATCTTCCAGGTTACATAGGCAAACGACACATTCTTCCACGAGGCGAGTGGATGGAATGGAAGCTTTCTGTCGGGACTGGTAGCTACCACTTACATCATGTACTCCTGAGCTGTACCATAGAAGTTCCTGCTTAGCTACCGTGAATGAAATGAAATGAATTTTCATTCATTCACGGCACCTGTTTCATTCTAGATAATTTATTCTGTTTCATTCATTCCTGGCGACTGTTTCATTTTTTTCTTTCATTCCACCAGGGCAACTGTTTCATTCCTTGCTTCATTCTTCTCAGGTGCCTATTTCATTGTTAGAGCTGGGAAAATGATTATGTAATTGATACAAAATATTTAAGTGCCTTATTTGGCAACAGCATGCCTATCTCATTGTGTATTTGAGCCTCAAATGCAAAAGTACCCCCATATGGCCTCCCACACCACTGCAGTAGGGCACAACACATATCAGGCATAATTGTATATTATTTCCTTATTTAGATGTGTGTTAAAACATCGAAATTGTTGCCTGAAAGAATGAAACAAAAATGAAATAACTGCCTGGAAAGAATGAAATGAAAATTCCATGGCAATGAATGAATGAAAAAAATGAAACAGTTGCCAGGAATGAATGAAACGAAAGAATAAAGCAAAAAATGAAAGAGTTGCCATGGTGGAATGAAATTAAAAAAATGAAAGAGTCGCCAGGCATGAATGAAACAGAATAAATTGCATTCTTGTCAGTAGAAATGAAGAAAAAATTGAGATGAAATGAAATGAAACAAAAAGTATTTCATTCTCGACGGCAATGAATGAGAATGACTTGGAATGAAACAGGTGCCGTGAATGAATGAAAATTCATTTCATTTCATTCACGGTAGTTAAGCAGGAACTTCTATGGTACATGCCAGGTTTTACATGATGTAAATGGCAGCTACTAGTGCTGTCGGACACTACTGCGTCCGCGTAGAGAAACGTTCTCCTGGTCATACCTTCTCTCAAGGAGGACGGACGGGTACGTGCATTCGGAATTTTTGAAAACCGCAGCGTCCTTATTTGCCGTCATCAGTGAATGGAATGCTTGAGAATGACGCAGACGCATCAGTCACCGCCTAGGTTAGATTAGCGTCCAGGTAGAAACGATCGTACTCGAGTGGAAAATCCAATCGAGTAAGATGTATTGATGTATGAGTGTTAGAGACGCAGACGCGTCAGCTGCTCCCTAGTATCAGATTCCAGGTACGCAATCGAGCAAGATGCATCACTGTACGAGTGATAAAGATGCAGACGCATCAGCCCCGGCCTACGTTCGAATAGCGTCCTAGGTTCGACGATATTCGAGAGGATTGAAGGTGTAGACCCGTCAGCTGCTCCTTAGGCTCCACGGTGAAAGAGTCGCACTCGAGAGGAAGGTTGACGGCCGTAAATGTATTTTCTTCCAGGTGGTTTGCGGTCGTGGGACTGATTGTCCTCGCGACATAGTTGGCAATGCCGTGCTTGAATTGAAACGCGCAGAAACTGACGATTATGACTGGGGCGAGAGAGGCGAATTTTAGTCCTCCTGTAGGTTCTTCAGGTAGTAAGATGTATCAAAAAAATAGTGAAAAAAATGCAGACGCATCAATCGAGACCCAGGTTCAAATAGCTCGAGTAGGATGCATCGATGGATGTGATTGATAACTTCGACCAAACAATGATAAATTTTGAACTGAGAAGTGGACGTCCACTTTTCAGTTCAGAATTGATGCATGTTTGTCTAATACCTTTTGTTCAAACAACAAAAAATAAGGATGCGGGCCAGCTCGGGGCAATAGATACAAGACTGGCTATGTAAGGGATACTATGTTATTTGTATGTACGATTGAACTGCAGACGATACAGTCCTACAAAAATTATCATTAGATTTGTCATTTTCACTATTGTATCATTAATTGGCTGTAACCGTTGGGCGCATGCCAAAGAGAATATCGGCATCTTGAAAATTATTCAATGTTAGTTGAGAGTATAGTTGTGATGTTACATACATGTTCGTTTGACTTTCTTATGCTTATGGGTCGAACCTTTGAGGTCTGCAATGTATTCTCCGGGGAAACGAACTCTGTCAACAGTCTTATTCGTCCCGACCAAGTGATATTGATCGCCTGGATTTTCACCGGTTAAATCAACTGTTTGGACGTTTGTTTAAGCTGACAAAAACATCTCAAGAAATTGACACTTACAGGCGGAGCACGGAATTGGTGTCGAAAGACGACGAATTGAGTATTTCCCACCACTCCACTCGAAGGTATCAGGTTCCCGCTTCAATTGAACCATAGCTTCTTTGAAGTGGATTGATCCAGCGATAGCTAATTGTAGTTCGTGGTCGAATTTGAGCATAGTACAGTCCCTAGCTCCTCGGATCCCTTGGTTATATCCTTTTTTTTTCATACTGAACAAAGCGGCTGCGTGTTGCACGAAAAATGGATAATAAAATTCCTTGGGTCCATCGATAGCAACGTCAGAGTCATCAACCAATTCGAAGTTAGAGAAGAAGAAGTGGAGCAATTGACGGCTTTTTGCGCGTGCATCGACATATTGCAAGAGTAGAAGAGACGGAAGCCCGGGATCAGCCCGCAAATCAGAATCGTGATCGCTGAGGTTTGTTTCGACACGGTATGTCTGATAATCAACGACATTGAGCAACTCCACTGCGATGGCTAAGGTGAAAACCACCAAAATGTCGTCAAAGCATTCGAGGTTTGGTATATGATTGGATAGATAGCCTACAAAGGTTGAACGTTAAACTGTAACTGCAAAGAATAACGTATTGAATAGCGCTTACCCGTGACCTTTTCTTCAAGAACAAAATGTCGGTGCCAGAGGTACATTATACGGATTAACAGTAACCGGGAGGGATCATGGTTTGTGTTAGTTATTACGCCCCCTAAAGCCCAAGTGCGGTATAAACCAATAACGGTCTCCCCTAGGGTAGAGAGACAATAGAAATGTCCTCCCTTGCATATCGACGGCTTGACAGTTACAACCCAATGCGGCGTTTGGGGACGCATACGTCTGACAACATCGTAAATATTGAGGATCAACGTAGGTAAAATAAAGACTTACAATCGCATCCCTGGTTCCAATAATATGCCTTCGAAGCACCATATATTTGGGTCAGGTCTTTCCATGCACCATTTCTCATCACAGTATAAATCAATTTTTCCGTTGTCTTCACGGTTTCGAGGACGAGCGACGATCCAGTATTTACCACCGACCAGTACGTCTACGGTGGTGCAGAACCCATCCGAGTCGATGTGACCATAGTGCAAAGTGCCATAAGTAGCAACCAGTCCCCAACGGAGATGTCGCGATGGCAAAGACGCAGTCTCCTCATTGCAGAAAGGAAGTCGTTCGGTGGCAATCCAAGCATGGAGATCCGTTGATAGGGCATCTGGTGAAATATCGCTTGCGGGCAACGGAAAGTCTAATGCATTCAAAATGTGACCATCGTCATTCGGTCCCGAAGAGCCCTTGAGTATCATCTGATTCAACGTTCCCTGAACGAGACGTTTACTGTAGTCTCCGTCCTTCACCAAAATACTTTGATCTGCATATATGTATCAGTTATTGATATTTTAACGCAGATATATCATAGAACACTAACCTTGCATATCAATGACAGCATCCAAATGTGCGAGTCTACTCAAAGTATCTTCGTTCCAAGCTGCCTTTCCAACCGAACGTCCGGTTGTAACGATATTTTGAGTCGCAAAGATTTTAAGGGCCGTAGCATCGTCTAAATTCTCGAATTCTGCCTCGGTCATTGTGATAAAGCTTGCAGCTTCTGGTCGCGATATGTGAGGAGGTAACCCGTCAATATAATCTTTGACTACGAGGTCCATCAAGTTATCAAAATTGTCGATATCGACCTGATGCTGCGGTCATGTTATTCGTGTTGATAGCAGCTACATCTGATATACTTACGTGGAATTCAGGCTTGTATTTGTGAAGATTGTGCAATGTGGATCCATAGAGAGCGTACTCCTCAGTACCGACGCATTTCTAAATGAAGTTGCATGAGAAGGGGATAACGATTGTAAATTTGATAACGTACAGGCTTAAAGCTGTCAAGTTTCAATGTTTTTTCAGGGGCCGATGCCTACGAATGAGTCAATAAGAGCATTCATCCAGCGACAGACGCATACCGTGACAATATCTAAATCAATTCGACGACCTAGGATCGTGCCAGAATAGATGTATGAATCTTCTTCGCTGACGTACTTTCTTTGAAAGGATTGTTGAGAAGGAAAAGTCGAAGAAGAGGCATGCGATGAATCGCGGAAGAAGGTAGAGTCGGTAGGTGAAATCAGTTTATCTGATAACGTTTTCCTTTGACGTCTTGTACGAGGACGCCTTTTACGTTTTTTCGGCGTGACTGCCTTTGAGTGTTTGGGGTTCAATCGGGATGGACCGTGATCTGAGTCGGTGTCTGATTCGGAGGAGTCGTCGGTTGGAACAGAATCTTCTTGAAGGTTACGTTTTCTCTTCAGCGTGACTGATTTTGCATTGTTCGACTTCGATACGGGGGAATGATGGTCTGAGTCCTCCAAATCGGTTAAATCGCTATCTGCTTCAGAGTTTTGCGAAGGACTGGGTCGAACGCTGGTACTGATTTTTCCGGGATCGACATTCACACAAGGGGA